GTGGGGTTGTTAACCAATGTCATAAAACAGCATGTGTGTTACTGTTACATGAGAAACTATCTGTTCTGTAAGCCTTCACCTGAAGTACAATAAAATATTAAAAAAAAAACAAGGGTCCATTAGATAGCAAATAGCGATGACTGTTTTTACTGGTACACTGAGGGTTACTCTGCTAAATTTTAATGAAGGTTTGGGAATTTTTCAGTTCTCAGACCACTCAGATAGTCTTAAATTCTGGATTCTCAGCTCCTCAGGGAAAAGCGCCCATGCATGAAATTTTATGTATAAAATTCCAGAAGGTCCATCGCTTCCCTGAAGTTCATCATTGTCCCTGTTTCATAGATGAGGAAACTGAGGCACAAAGAGATTAAAAAAAAAACTTTCCTACTTCTGAATATGAATCCAAGACATTCTCACTGCATTGCTAGGGTTTAGCCTAAACTCCATTAAGCGTTTATAGCTAGAACTATCCTTTGACCAGTGTAATACTAAAATTAATTCAATTACTTTAAAAATCAGAGTGAAATAATAGCTACTCTGCTTTAGAACATGTTCTTTTCTTCCCTTGTCATCTTCTTTTTTGCATTTCCATAGCCAAGGACAGTCTCAAGCTCTCTGTAATGTAATGTTATCAAGGCAGTACAAACCTTGATCCCACCATTAACCTCAGATAGCCAATTTCTTTCTGTCACTGAGGGTCACTGTCATGCGGAAATAAGAGAAAAGCTGATAAATACAGCACCCACTCTATACAAATAGACTGAGGAGACATGACAATGTCAAGGATATTAAAAGAACCTCAGCTGAGTGGGTCATTTATGGGGGAAGGGAACTGTCCTCCTTTAGAAGGCTGCAAACCTGCAACTGACCCTTCTTACTTACCAGCATTCAAGTTTCTAATCAATATAACATTGTAGGACAGCTTGTCAAGTTTTATTGCTTAATGAACCAGCAGAATAAGGTAAATTTATGTATCAAGCACAAGCTCATTCTCCCTTGGTTAACCCCTATCTTCTAACAAAGCCAATAGCTGGATCCCTTATATAGCTGTTTCCTACTGCCACCTTTCCCCTGTGGCTTGAGGTTGAACATACAAATAAAACACCACCACGCTGCAGAGCTGCTCCAAGGTGGTGCTGCTGCACTAAGGTGACATGGGGCTTCTGGGCAGTTTTGTCAGCATTTTGGTCTATCTAGGTGTGTCATGGTGACATTTAATTCCAAACAAAAGTGCAAACGTGGAAAGGAGGAGGAACTTAAGTAATTTGGAATTTAAAAAAAAAAGTCTACATAGGAAAGGAAAAAAATAACTTCAAGGAGAGTCAAAATGATTCCCCTTGGGAGGGAGGGGATAACATTGGTCCCACCATATTAAAAAAAAAAAGGAAGAAGCATCTTTTTCCTTTTCCAGAGCAACCTTTAGCAGTATTTCTGCAGCAATTTCTACATATGTGTTTATCTGTTTACCTAACTGTGGCCTTGGGAAATTAGCACATCTTCTTCAAGGCTATTAGGTGCCCAAAATGTACACATTCGGGCTGATGTTATGTGAGAAAGATCTACACATGTTAATATGGTAATTCTTTTGTTCAAGGGGAAAGGGCAAGGTTTCTCCCTCAATAGAGGCCTCACGGTTTGCAGGCTCAGTAACCTCCTAAGAGTCAACACAGTGTGAGCACAGGGAAGGGCAGCAAAGGAGCCTCCCGTCCTCACCATCATCGTCAGACGCGCTTGAGTCTTCGGTCTCAACCTCGGCCTCGGTCTCAGCGTCGTTCTCCCCATCTTCCTCGCCCTCACCATCGCTCTCGCCCTGGTGGGCCATGCCTGGATCCTGGAAGTAGGTGGAATTCTTCCCGCACGCAGACTGCAGGCCCGCTAGAAGCAGCCAGCCGACGGTCAGCAGCAGCCCGGGGGAGCAGCCCGCGCCCCCGGGGCCCATGGTTCTCCACCCCGACCGCCGCCCAAGGCGCAGTCAAGAGGTGCGTCGAAAAGAGGTGCGACGCCCCGCCACCGGACTCCGAACCCCGAACCGCAGCGCGGCGCCCAGGCAACCATTGAGGCGTCATCACTCGTCACCGCCATCCGGCAGCTTCGGGTTTTGGCGCTCTTAGAACGCCAGCGCGCGGTGAGCAAGCCCAGAGCGCTGCGCGCAGGCCCCAGTGCGCCACGCCCTCGCGGGGTCCGCTGTGGTGCCATCTTACCTCCCACTGTGCTTCTGCCTTGGAAGTGCCTTCAGCGCAGTTGCGCGCTACTCCCATTTCTTCAGTTAATTGAGCAACCCTGCAATCCTCCGCCTCTTATTTTTCTTGAGCACTCTGCTTTCTTTTAAAAGAATGCTGTTTTCATCCTTTCTACGTTTTACTCTTCTACAAACTAGACTCCCTGTGCCCTCAAGCACTCTCCATGTGACTTGGTTTCGAAATTCCTTACCCAGAATATCCAGTTTGGTATGTATCAAGAAGAATTCATGATAGTCTTATTAAGTATGGTGCCCCAAACGAAATCCGTATCTAGTGGGGAGGTTTGATTTAGGGGAGAATTTAGGGGAGCAATTTCTTCCTTTGATCTGAACACTCCTGTTAATTCAGCTCAAGCATGTATTCATGTTTTAAGATTCAGTTTTGTGTGGGTCTTTGTTAAAAACTGCGGTGGATTAGATGAGCGAGGAGTGAGGAGAATGAAACTGTTGTCAAACTAGTTCTTACCGTTTCGTATTTGGACAGCTGATGTTTTTGGAATCCGACATTGAGCTTAACTTTTATCCTTGTTAATTTTCATCTTCCTGACTTTGGCCTATTTTTTAGCCTTATCGAGATTCTTTTGAATCCTGATTCTGTTGCCTACCATATTAGATATCTTTCCCAGCTTTGATTTGGAAGACATCTCTTATGTCTCCTTTAGGTCACTGACAAAAGTGTTAAAAAGGGCACTCGCCAAGGGTAGAGCCCTGTGAGGTCATTCTCTGACAGTGATCCACCAATCTACACAGTGGTTTAACCTAAGAATCAGTTCTTTTACCCACAAGGAGCCACGTTTTTTATGAAAGTTGAATCAGACTAAAAGCAAGACTTTCCTGGCATCCCTCTTAAATCAGCAGGAAATCTTAGAGCCAAGTCTAACTCCCCACTGTCCTCTTAAGAGTGTTCAGTATCAATATGTACAATAATGTAACGAAAAAAATGACATTTCAAGTAGCCTGCTCTAATTAATTCATTTCTTCTTTAAGAATAGAATCAAAGACTTTTTGGATCAGAAGAGTTTAGAAATCATCTAATAGTCTAAGTCCCTCATTTTTTATTCAGAGATAAAGAACCAGAGAGGTTAAATGACTCGTCCAAGATCATCCAGCAAATTATTTGCAAGCTGGACCTCACAACCAGATCTCCTGAATGCTCATTCAACACTTTGTGATTCATATAATTTAAAGTTAACAATGAAGAAGCATTTAATGGGGTGTTTGGGAGTTGATAGTTCAAACACTAAACACAAATTAGGCTTGTCATTTTTTTTTTTAATCTTGTTATTTCAAGTTTGACTCAGTCTAGTTGTTAGAATGTGGTAGTTTTGTTTTTAAAGCTGCATAGGGTGCTCAGCCAAGAGAATATTTATGAAGGGATGGTTCAGTAGTTTTACATATTGGATTTGAAACAAAGCTTATATGACTGTTTCTACATGATCTTATCACATACTTTGAGTTTTAATTCCCATGACATGTGAGATGAAGAGACACATATTACAAGGTGGACTTGAGACAAGAACCCTAGCTTTTGGACCCTTTGAATATTCGTCCTCAGGAGACTCACAGGTAACCTCAGAAACTATTAGGAAGTATTCAGAGCCACTTAGTGAATTATTTGTAACAAAAGTAGAATGTTATGTGAATATGTTCTCTCACAAAGGCTTCTAGTTTTAAGAATAAAGAAAGGTTAAAACTACTAAAAATGGTCAGTATTAAAGTTCAAATTAATATTCTAAGAAGTTTCTGGGAATATTTTATATCTACTATAACACAGTAAAATATTATAGTGCCCAACAAAGTTATGAGGAAAATTAAAATGAGTAATTTAGAGATGATCTTCAGAAGCAAAGGCCTTTGTTCCATGGCCTAATGAAAAAGCATAAAATTTTACTTTTTTTTTTTGATTGCTGAGAAAAATAAGTAAAAAATTATGCTTTTGAACAAAATTTAAAAAAAAAGATCTATAGTATTGTCACAGGTATCAGTGCTGAAGGCTTCAAAAATCAATTTTAGGGCACATTGCTTCCTCAAGATAGTATCATTTTGGGCACAAAAAGTCCCATCAACTCTAAGATAGGTAATTTAACTCAGGAGAACATTAACAACTTAATACAGTTTAAGACAGTTTCAAAGGGAATATAAATGGAAATTAAGAATCTCAAAAACGAACCGGAAGACTGGACTCTGAAATGAAGAATATTAAAATAATACCTACAAAAGCACCAATACAAATCACCTATAAAGTATTATGTTAATCATGTAAGTTACAAGAAAAAGTATAGTATTTGTCCCCAACAAACGTATGTTCTCTCTTGTTGGAGCCACAAATAAGTGAACAGTAAATATTTAGCCAGAAACACAGGGCACAGTATACAAAGGGGTTGACCCCGCTGACCTGTGGTTACTAAGGGAGAGGAATTCAACCTCAGTCCCTCATTTGCTCCTCTGACTCACCTTACCTCAGTTCACTTAGCTCACCTCACCCTGCCTGGCCCTGGCCATCTCCATCCTTATCTCCAGTTTCCAGGGGGCAGGGATCAGAGCCCAGTCTCCATGACTCCTGTTCCTCACCCACCCAAACTATCTCACCTATCCTGGTACTGACCTTACCTTTCCTGAGCTTGTCTTACTTGACCTCACTCTTGACATTCTTGGAGGTAGGAAAATCATGCCTTTATCCCATCTCCACTCTGCCAACACTAGACGACCTCATAGTCTGAAAAGGAAGACAAATTTGAAGATTTTTTTGTGATATAAAAAATTGCTATGGTCAGGCTTTTTAATTTTATCCATTCTAATAGATGTGGAGAGGTGTCTCAGTGTGGTTTTATTTTGCATTGCGCTAATGCCCAATGATGCTGGGCATCTCTCTTCATGTGCATACTTGCCATTTGTACAGCTTCTTCTGTCTGTTCAAATCTTTTGTTCATTTTTTCATATTGGATTATTTTCTTGATAATGACTTTTGAAAGTTTTCTATATACTAGGGACAAAAGTCCATTATCAGATATGTGTTTTGCAAATATTTCCTTCTAGTCTAAAGCTTGGCTTTTCATTCTTTTAGCTATATTTTTTTAAGAGCAGAAGTTTTTTTTATTTTTAAAAATTTTTTATTATGGTACTGTGTATAACCAGACATTTGCCATTTCAATGATTTTTACATATAATTCAGTAACATTAATTATATTCACCATGTTGTGCAACAATCACCACTCTCTTTTTCTAAATTTTTTCATTACCCTTAACAAAAACTCTGAACCCCTTAAGCAACATCCCCTTTATGTTCCCCTCCCACTCATCTCTGGAAACCACAAATAAACTTTGGTCTCTATGAACTTGCCTATTCTGGATAATTTAATATAAATGGAATCATACAATATTTATCCGTTTGTATCTGACTTATTTCATTCAGCATAATGTTTTCAAGGTTCATCCAAGTCAGAGCATATGTCAGAATTTCGTTTCTCTTTATGGCTGAATAATATTCATATATATATAAATATACATACACATGCACATATACATATATAAACCATTCATCTGTTGGTGGACACTTGGCTTGTTTCCAGGTTTTGGCTATTATGAGTAATGCTACAATGAATATTGGTGTACAAATATCTGTCTGAGTTCCTTCTTTCAGTTATTTTGGCTGTATACCTAAGAATGGAATTGCTGGGTTATAAAGCAGTTCTATGTTTAACTTTTTGATGAACTGTCATACTGTTTTCCACAGCAGCTATACCATTTTATAATCCCATCAGCAATGGATGAGGCTCCAATTTCTCCACATCCTTGTCAACACTTACTGTTTTCTATTTATCTGATAGTAGTCATCCTAGTGGGGTTAAAGTGGTATCTCATTGTGGTTTTGAATTGCATTTCCTAATGACTTTGAGCATCTTTTCATGTGCTTGTTGATCATTTGTATTTCTTCTTTGGTGAATTGTCTATTCAATTCCTTTGCACATTTTTAAATTGGGTTGTTTGTTGTTGTTCTTAGTTTTGTTTTTTTCTTTTTGTGTTGAGTTGTAAAAGTTGTTTCTGTATTCTGGATATGAAACCCTGAACAGATACATAGTTTCCCCAAATTTCCTTGCAATCTGTAGGTTGTCTCTTGACTTTGTTCCTAAAGTTCTTTGATGCACAAAAATTTTTTAATTTTGATGAAGGCCAGTTTATCTATTTTGTCTTTTGTTGCTTGTGCTTTTGGTGTCATATGCATGAATTCATTGTCAAAACTTACATCTCAAAACATTACCCTGTGTTTTGTTCTAAGATTTTTTTTGGTTTTAGTTCTTACCTTTAGGTCTTTGATGCATCTTGAATTAATTATGTATATGGTATGAGGTACTGGTCCAATTTCATTCTTTTGTGGGGATCCTTTTGTCCAAGCACCACTTATTAGAGACTGTTCAGTCAAGATGCATTGATAATTACTGGTGATTGAAATGCAAAAGTTGGAAACAAAGAAAAAGGATCAGTAGTTGGAAAATATGGCCTTGATGATATAAACGACGCAGGAGATCTCATGATAAAATTTTGCAAGAGCAGTGACCTAGTCATTGCAGATATCTTTTTTCAACAACATAAACAGTGACTATACCTGTGGACCTCACCAAATAGAATATACAGGAATCAAATAGACTATATTTATGGAAAGAGGTGATGGAGAGGTTCAATATCATCAGTCAGAACAAGGC